TAAAAATAAAAGAGTGATGTGTGTTTCTATGTCAAACAGTTTTGTTATGTTTCAGTCTTCCGTGATGTATATAAAGTGTAATATTGGGATGCAAACTCTAAATGTAATACATTTCAACTCTCTTTCTTTTTTTAAAAGTCCATAACCATGTATGTGAGGTGTATACTTTTGTCTCAAAGTAGATTTGTTTGACCCTGATTTAGCCCACTGCAGTAAGGTTAATTGAACCAATTTGATAGAGGACATAATGAGACATGATGTGTTACACACGCATGTATGCACACACCACACACACACACACCACACACTGCATGTTCTCTGTGTGAAATATCTGTGATGTAAGTCACTGTGCTTGCCCATAAAAGTCAATCACACATAAGCCCTGTTTATACCTGCCGCTAACATGCGTCCTTTGTCCTGATCTTGACCTGGTCTTGTTCGTTTCCACTTGGAAGATCTGATTACGATCAGATCACAATGTGTCTTTTAATCGTCTACACCTGTCTAAAAATGTGGGCATAATAAGAATGTGGAAAAGATGGGGACAAAGGACGCATGTTAGCACTCGACTAACCCGTACCTCCACACATTGACTCGGTACCGGTACCCCCTGTATATAGCCTCGTTATAGTTACTTTATTGTGTTACTTTCATTTTTTAAATTTTTACTTTAGTTTATTTTGTAAATATATTCTTAACTCTATTTCTTGAACTGCATTGTTGGTTAAGGGCTTGTAAGGAAGCATTTTATGGTAAGGTCTACACCTGTTGTAGTCAGTGCATGTGACAAATACAATTTGATTTTTGATTTGATATAGACAGGTTTTTAAATGGAGGCCTGCTGGGCTGGCCGTGTGTGTGTGGTCTTGTGAGTGAACCCAACACAGCGCCCCCTGCTGGCTACTTATTGACAGTGTTTTAGAATCACAAATCTTTATAGAGGAAACTGTCACATTGACACAGTCCTTAGAATGAGGTGAGGTGATTCTTAAAATTAAATGTCTTTAACTTCAGGCAATGGATGTCTGTGAACATTTCATAATGTTGAAATCACTTCAGGGAATTAGATGGGAAATTATCTGGTGGTTGCTAGCATTGGGTGTGTTTTGAAACGTTTTTAAAACACTTTGCAGACTGATGGATAATCGACCACCTGTCGAGTGGATGCTGGATGTATGGGTGTCTGTCTGGAGAGAGAGACATAGTAGTAATCTCCAGACAGGCTTCAGAAACAATGGATGACTTGATCCCCCAGGCTCCTGGCCCACTTTGGTTCCGCCAGCCTCAATCGAACGCACACACACTCTTTTTTTTTTTCTTTCTCATACTCAGAGATCAGTCTCACCTGTCCCTCTTCTGGTTCCAGTCAGGTGATGGAGGGAGGGAGATTGAGGGATGTAGAGAGGAGAGGTTTAGAGAATTAGATATCCTCCCCCTGCACCTACAGTTTTTTACAATCACTTTGGCACTAATTTCAGAACCTTGACGTCATTTTTCAAAACTCTAGACACAAAACGGTCATCACTTGTAACACAGGCTGTCCAATGTTCAAAACATTGCATTGTGCATTCATATCTTTAAAGAAATCTTGCACAATCATTGGTTCAAAAAACAAATTTATTGTGAAATACCAATTAAACTTTAATTTAGATCATCCACAAGCAACCGATAGTTTCACTGTGTCATTGTTCGTACAATCATTAAATATTGTAGTACAAAATAGGTGATACATGTTTCATTATGGTACTACATGTAAATACATCCCTGTAAAAGTACTGCAGTAATAGAGAGAATACTACAGACACAGTGGAATCATTGAACAAAATCTGAAATATATTGATGAGAAACAATACAGTACTGTAAAACATCAAATGCAGTGTTCCTCAACTTGCTTGCTTGTACTGTAAAAAGCCAAACATAGGAGTGATTACTGTACTTCTACATTTTCATCAACTCTGTCTTGTGGATTTGGCCACAGGTTCTCATCTACATCACAATAGATGTTTTCATTAGCCAAACATCTTGGAAAAAACCTTCGGGCATGGCGAATCCAGGCCTGACACTGGTCTGCCGTGATGTCATTGCATGCGTCATCCATGGCCTGGAGAAGAGTGAGTTGTTCATGAGGGCGCCTATCAAACCTTCCATCTCCATGTGGAGAAAAATTCCTCAGTCGGGTTAAGGAAAGGAGAGTATGGGGGTAAATACAGGGTGGTAAATTGTGCATGGGCCTGAAACCAATGCTTGCACCATATGAGCATGGTGGAACCTGACATTATCCCACACAATGACATAGGTCACGCCATCAGCTCTACAGACCTGATCGAGCTCATCAAGGAAGGTTACAAGGAGAGCTGCATTATATGATCCAATACGAGGTCTGCGTCCCACCACACCATCTTCTGATATAGCCGCATACATGGTAATGTTGGCCCCACGTTGTCCAGGTACTTGGATGGTTGCCCGCTGGCCAATGAAATTCCGACCTCTCCTCCTTGTCTTGGCCAGGTTAAAGCCTGCCTCATCCAAATATATGAATTTGTGATGGTTGTCATCAGCATCCAGCTCCATCACCCTCTAAAAATACATTTTGGAAAGAGATTTACAGATTACTGTACAATGTAGAATTATTAGGGAATTTTATTACAACAGCCATCTTGAAACTGAACATACCTGAACATACTCAGTCCTCATTTGCTTCACTCTGTCTGCATTTCTTTCAAAAGGCACACGGTATAGTTGTTTTAAAAACACTTGGTGCCTTTTCAGCATGCGTGCAATAGTCAGCAAACTTATGGATTCCACATTGTTAAACATGTCTTCATTGTCCAAGATATGCTGGCAAATTTCTGTAAGGCGAATATCATTTCTGTCCCGAACCAAATCGACCACAGCCTGCTCTTGTTGGTCAGTCAGAATTTTGCCTCTGCCTCCCCTATTTGGCCTAGTCTCAATTTCTATAGGGAACATTACAGTAAGAAGACACTTGGTCACATCACCTACTCTGTGATACACATTGGTATGCAGTCATTTGACAATTGAGTGTAGCATAATGTTTAGTGCATGCTGACGACTTACCGGTTCTCATTGCGGAAAGTTCTGATTATTGAGGCCACGGTTGACCTTCTGAGGTTTGGTTGTATCATTGTAGCCGCCTCAGTCATTATCATGCCATGATTTATGACATGGTCTACAACTATTGCTCGGATTTCATTGGACAGTCTTTGCGGTTGCTGCCGCTGTCTTGGTCCGTGGCCTTGTCCTCTACCACGTTCCCCCACACCTCTCAAACAAGGCCCACGACCACCTCTCAGAAGGGGTGCTTGTCCCCTGCCATTCCTTTGACCAACACGTCTTCCTCCCACCACTGCTTGACCTCTATTGTGACCTGGATCACCTGCCGGCTCCATGTTACAGTACGTATCGCTATGTTGTTGCAAGTGGATCCCAATCAATTCTTTATATACTCGTTCCACAATGTGAACTCAATCATCAGTAACGGACAAGCAATTACAAGGGCCTGCATCCATATAGTGCAGTACTGTCAATACTGTAAATAGTCTGAAAAGGTGGTACATGGGACCATAGAAACGGTGTCTGATAAAGAATGATGATGAAATATTACATCCATAGATAATGTAGTCTAATTGGTTCATGCTCCACGCTAATTGGTGACAATGAATCTCGTTATCTTTAAACTTTCATGATCTAAACATGGAATATTGTTTGTCTGTTTCCATACAACTATGCATTAAGAGTAATGCAACAGTCACTTATCATTTTTAGCAGTTGTATCAATTGATAGTTGGATAATTGTAATGAAATGAATAGACACTCATTTGAAATGTAATGTGTGAATTGCCTTTTGAAATAGTAGTACTTTGATGTTAAGTTGTGTCATATTGAACAGGTGATTTTTGTTAAATGAACAAATGATCTTAGTTTTATGTGTATTGTATCCAAGCAATTGAAAAAAGTGTTAGAGTTTTGAAAAATGTGCATTTTGATCATTGGTTGTGAGTTTTGTGTCTAGAGTTTTGAAAAATGACGTGAAGGTTCTGAAATTAGTGCCAAAGTGATTGTAAAAAACTATTAGTATTCACACATTCCATCACAATATGTAAATGTCTGCATTATTCATTCTGCTATCACAATTGAATATGGATAAATTATGCATAATATTCTAAATTATGCATGTAGTGTATTCATTATACATAATTCAGGCATGTAACCTTTCAATTAGGTACCTGTAGATTGGAGCTATGAATAGAGAAGGGAGAGAGACAGAGTGATGAAGAGGGAGCGAGGGAGCGAGGGAGGGAACGAAAGACAGAGTGGTCCCATGTACTTAGTGGAAAAGCCCTAATGTGTGTTTTGTCCTGACGATGACCTTGGTCTCCGGAGGTGTGTATGTGTGTGGGTGTGTATAAAGTCTATCTTTGTTGAGTCTGGTGATAAGCTCTCACACCCGTCACCTGATTAAAATAAGGTGAGCAGCCAAGACATAATGAGAGACAGAACAGAAAGAGAGGGGGAGAGAGATGGAGAAAAAGAGAGAAAGGAAAGGATTGAGAAAGACATTAGAGGGAGAGAGACGAAGTTCCTTCATCTGAAACTCTTTGCCTTTTTCATATATTTCAGGCAAATAAAGCTTTATGTTTAAAAATTATAATAATTGTGAGAATACCGCTAGAGACAGGGGGGAAGGAGAAAGAGAGGAAAGAGAGAGAGGGGGAAGGAGAAAGAGGGGAAAGAGAGAGAGGGGGGAAGGAGAAAGAGGGGAAAGAGAGAGAGGGGGGAAGGAGAAAGAGGGGAAAGAGAGGGGGGGGAAGGAGAAAGAGGGGAAAGAGAGAGAGGAGCGAAGGAGAAAGAGGGGAAAGAGAGAGAGAGGGGGGGAAGGAGAAAGAGGGGAAAGAGAGAGAGGGGGGGAAGGAGAAAAGAGGGGAAAGAGAGAGAGAGGGGGGAAGGAGAAAGAGGGGAAAGAGAGAGGGGCAGAGGAGAAAGAGGGAAAGAGAGAGAGGAAGGAGAAGGAAAGAGGGGAAAGAGGGAGAGGGGGAAGGAGAAAGAGGGGAAAGAGAGAGAGGGGAAAGAGAGAGGGGGCGAAGGAGAAAGAGGGGAAAGAGAGAGAGGGGCGAAGGAGAAAGAGGGGAAAGAGAGAGAGGGGTGAAGGAGAAAGAGGGGAAAGAGAGAGAGGGGAAGGAGAAAGAGGGGAAAGAGAGAGAGGGGGGAAGGAGAAAGAGGGGAAAGAGAGAGAGGGGGAAGGAGAAAGAGGGGAAAGAGAGAGAGGGGCGAAGGAGAACGAAGGGAAAGAGAGAGAGGGGTGAAGGAGAAAGAGGGGAAAGAGAGAGAGGGAAAAATAGATATGTCCCAGATGCTTTAGTTTTGTTTAAGAGAGAGAAGTTGGTATTTCCTGCATCAGCTAAGATTAGGAAGATACCAAATTATGACAAATGTACTATATTACGTATTGGATCACTAAAAAATACAATTTTTACATTACCATGTAGTTTACCAATAAAATGGTCTGATGGTGATGTGGATATACTCGGAATACATATCCCAAAGGAAATAAATGATCTCACTTCAATCAATTTTAATAGAAAGTTAGCAAAAATAGGTAAGATCTTACTACCATGGAAAGGAAAATACCTGTCAATTTGTGGAAAAATCACCCTGATTAACTCTTTAGTATTATCCCAGTTTATCACTAAAAGCTTCAGTCATACAAAAGTTATACTTAAATCCGAACTGGTTCTCAAGCAAATTAGTAAGATTGTCTCACCCAATGTTCAAGAAAGGCCTTTTTCCCTTTATTCAGATTACAACAACTCATTTGCAGTTATTTGAAAGGGAAATCATCTCCCAAATATCACTATTTCTAAAACAAGCCATAGAAAGTTGGTTGCAATTTCAATTTAATCCTCCAGAAACGACAGAACAAATAATGCAACAAATATTGTGGTTAAATTCAAATATACTAATTGACAAAAAACCTTTATTTTTTGACAGAATGTTTAAAAAAGGTATAATCTTCGTAAATGATATCATCGGTAGGACTGGTGGAGTTATGTCGCACATGCAGCTAACAAAAACATATGTCTGCTCTACCCAAAATTACAACCAAATAATTGCAGCCTTACCGCAAAAGTGGAATAGGAAAGTGGAAGGGGGAGAAAGTAAGGAACTTGTCTGTCGGCCTTGCATTAAAGAACATAATTGGTTAAGGAAAACTGTGATAAATAAAAAAGTATATCAGTTTCACTTAAGGACCAAAGGATTGACAGCCGTCCCATATAGATTGCAAAATAGTTGGGAAGAGATTTTTGACGTACCGATCCCATGGCATAGTGTTTATGAGAATGAGAATAGAAAGGTTCAGAACTTTTGTAAAACATCACAGTACGGTTGAAATATATATGGCAAATAGAAATCCTATATGGATGTCTCCTGAGTGGCGCAGTGGTCTAAGGCACTGCATCGCAGTGCTAACTGTGCCACTAGAGATCCTGGTTCGAATCCAGGCTCTGTCACAGCCGACCGCGACCGGGAGACTCATGGGCGGCGCACAATTGGCCCAGCGTTGTCCAGGGTAGGGGAGGGAATGGCCGGCAGGGATGTAGCTCAGTTGATAGAGCATGGCGTTTGCAACGCCAGGGTTGTGGGTTCGATTCCCACGGGGGGCCAGTATAAAAAAAAAACTTTAAAAGAAATGTGTATTCACTAACTGTAAGTCGCTCTGGATAAGAGCGTCTGCTAAATGACTAAAATGTAAATGTAAGAGATAGACGGGAGGTATTGAATAGAGTTGAAGGATGGGACTAATAATAACAAAGATAGCTAATAATGTAAGCATACTGTGTCCATAATAAGTATATAGGTTGTATATTGGGAGCTTTTGGGAAAGAGCACAGTTAGAAAGATATGGCATATAGAAGCAAACCGAATGGACATCATGAAAATGATCGGAGAGGTTGAGAGTAGAAGAAGTTCAGGAGCAAAAAATATATATATATACAGTGGAGAAAAAAAGTATTTAGTCAGCCACCAATTGTGCAAGTTCTCCCACTTAAAAAGATGAGAGAGGCCTGTAATTTTCATCATAGGTACACGTCAACTATGACAGACAAATTGAGAACATTTTTTCCAGACAATCACATTGTAGGATTTTTAATGAATTTATTTGCAAATTATGGTGGAAAATAAGTATTTGGTCACCTACAAACAAGCAAGATTTCTGGCTCTCACAGACCTGTAACTTCTTCTTTAAGAGGCTCCTCTGTCCTCCACTCGTTACCTGTATTAATGGCACCTGTTTGAACTTGTTATCAGTATAAAAGACACCTGTCCACAACCTCAAACAGTCACACTCCAAACTCCACTATGGCCAAGACCAAAGAGCTGTCAAAGGACACCAGAAACAAAATTGTAGACCTGCACCAGGCTGGGAAGACTGAATCTGCAATAGGTAAGCAGCTTGGTTTGAAGAAATCAACTATGGGAGCAATTATTAGGAAATGGAAGACATACAAGACCACTGATAATCTCCCTCGATCTGGGGCTCCACGCAAGATCTCACCCCGTGGGGTCAAAATGATCACAAGAACGGTGAGCAAAAATCCCAGAACCACACGGGGGGACCTAGTGAATGACCTGCAGAGAGCTGGGACCAAAGTAACAAAGCCTACCATCAGTAACACACTACGCCGCCAGGGACTCAAATCCTGCAGTGCCAGACGTGTCCCCCTGCTTAAGCCAGTACATGTCCAGGCCCGTCTGAAGTTTGCTAGAGTGCATTTGGATGATCCAGAAGAGGATTGGGAGAATGTCATATGGTCAGATGAAACCAAAATAGAACTTTTTGGTAAAAAACTCAACCCGTCGTGTTTGGAGGACAAAGAATGCTGAGTTGCATCCAAAGAACACCATACCTACTGTGAAGCATGGGGTGGAAACATCATGCTTTGGGGCTGTTTTTCTGCAAAGGGACCAGGACGACTGATCCGTGTAAAGGAAAGAATGAATGGGGCCATGTATCGTGAGATTTCGAGTGAAAACCTCCTTCCATCAGCAAGGGCATTGAAGATGAAACGTGGCTGGGTCTTTCAGCATGACAATGATCCCAAACACACTGCCCAGGCAACGAAGGAGTGGCTTCGTAAGAAGCATTTCAAGGTCCTGGAGTGGCCTAGCCAGTCTCCAGATCTCAACCCCATAGAAAATCTTTGGAGGGAGTTGAAAGTCCGTGTTGCCCAGCGACAGCCCCAAAACATCACTGCTCTAGAGGAGATCTGCATGGAGGAATGGGCCAGAATACCAGCAACAGTGTGTGAAAACCTTGTGAAGACTTACAGAAAACGTTTGACCTGTGTCATTGCCAACAAATGGTATATAACAAAGTATTGAGAAACTTTTGTTATTGACCAAATACTTATTTTCCACCATAATTTGCAAATAAATTCATTAAAAATCCTACAATGTGATTTTCTGGATTTTTTTTCCTCATTTTGTCTGTCATAGTTGACGTGTACCTATGATGAAAATTACAGGCCTCTCTCATCTTTTTAAGTGGGAGAACTTGCACAATTGGTGGCTGACTAAATACATTTTTTCCCCACTGTATATATATATATAATAGAATTATTGTAAAATTAACTGTGTCCATAAGGTGTAGATAGTAAGTATAGACCGGAAGTAGAGGCCTGGGCATTGTTGTTCACTAATTTACTCCAAGTAGGGAAAGGATGGCGGGGTTGAAAAGTAATAAAGGGGAGTATATATATAAAAAACATTGGGGATTGGAAGTGATGCAGACAATTACATTGATAGAAGATACAATCTATCTGCAATATTAAGCTGATCCACCCCCCCCCCCCAAACATTTTCTATTTCTTTAAGAACCTGCAGATACTTCAAGGTGTGGCTGAGCATGTCTGCATGTGTGTCTACCCATACACTGGAACCTTAGTTGTAATTTACAGTTTGTAAGTTCTAACAGGGAACCAATTAACTGTGACACAGGAAGGAAGTGACTTGTATTAAGAGAGATGATGATGACTGCTTGGTTGGAGTCGAGTAGAGCAGCAGAGACCGGGTCAATTTGTCACACCCTGGCTCGGGGACTCATTATGTTGAGCCAGGGTGTGTTCATTCTATGTTTTCCGTTTCTTTGGTGGGTGTTCTAGGTTGTCTATTTTCTATGTTTGCCTGTGTGACTCCCAATCAGAGGCAACGAGTGTCAGCTGTCGGCTGGTTGTCTCTGATTGGGAGCCATATTTAATCTGTCTGTTTTTCTTTCGGGTTGTGGGATTTTGTTCGTGTGTGTTCGTGTTGTACCATAGACGTCACGCATTCGTTGTTTATTTGTTTTGGTTCGTGTGATCATTTAAATAAATATAATATGTTCACTCGCAACGCTGCGCCTTGGTCTCCCTCATTAGACGATCGTGACAGAAAATCCCACCTAAACCAGACCAAGCAGCGTGAAGAGGAGAGAGGAAGGACCTTGGATCAGGGGAGTAGGAGTTTCGGCTGGGCCACGCTAAGTGAAGAGGAGAGAGGCTGGTCTATGAAGCAATGGATCGAGAGTCTGGCGAGAGCTAGGGAGGCCTGGTCCACGGGGAGGAGAGAACCCCAGAACATTTTTAGGGGGGGGCTCACGACGTGGACGACGGGGCAGCAGGAGGCCGCGATGGAGTGGTCCAGCGGGTGTGAAGAGGAGGCCGCCAGGTTAAGGGGGCCACTGGTCACAGAGGAGAGGGAAAGTGTGGAGGCACGGCGAGAGGTACTGGGGTGTGTTACCAGTCCGGTCCGGCCCGTTCCTGATCCCTGCGTAGGGCCAGTGGTGTGTGTCCCCAGTACGGTCCGGCCTGTTCCTGTTCCTCGCATCGAGCCTGTGGTGCGTGTCGTCAGCCCGGCCCGGCCTGTTCCTGCTCCCCGCACCAAACCTGTGGTGCGCGTCGCCAGCCCGGCCCGGCCCGTTCCTGCTCTCCGCACCAAGTCTGTGGTGTGCGTCGTCAGTCCGGCACGGCCCGTGCCTGTTCCCCGCACCAGGTCAGGGGTGCGCTTCGACGGCCCGGCTCGGCCCGCTCCTGCTTCCCACACCAAGCCAGTGGTGTGCGTCGTCAGTCCGGCACGGCCCGTGCCTGTTCCCCGCACCAGGTCGGGAGTGCGCTTCGACGGCCCGGCTCGGCCCGCTCCTGCTCCCCACACCAAGCCAGTGGTGTGCGTCGTCAGTCCGGCACGGCCCGTGCCTGTTCCACCGGTGGCTGGTCCGGCACCGGTCAGAGGCTTCACGTCGGAGCTAGAGCAATCCGCTCCACCAGTGTTCAGTCCAGCTCCGGCCAGCAGGGCCAGACCGGACCAGCCGCCGCCGAGGAGGAATGCCCACCCAGCCCTCCCCTGTTTTTGCTCTTATTTAGGCGCGGTCGCAGTCCGCGCCTTTAGGGGGGGGTACTGTCACACCCTGGCTCGGGGACTCATTATGTTGAGCCAGGGTGTGTTCATTCTATGTTTTCCGTTTCTTTGGTGGGTGTTCTAGGTTGTCTATTTTCTATGTTTGCCGGTGTGACTCCCAATCAGAGGCAACGAGTGTCAGCTGTCGGCTGGTTGTCTCTGATTGGGAGCCATATTTAATCTGTCTGTTTTTCTTTCGGGTTGTGGGATTTTGTTCGTGTGTGTTCGTGTTGTACCATAGACGTCACGCATTCGTTGTTTATTTGTTTTGGTTCGTGTGATCATTTAAATAAATATAATATGTTCACTCGCAACGCTGCGCCTTGGTCTCCCTCATTAGACGATCGTGACACAATTCCATACCAACTCCACTCTGCTCATGAATAGAACACTGATGAGGATGTCAATGAGAATCTCAGAATTCATAATTGAAATTTCTATGACATTCATCTCCTGAAATAAATTGACTGGAACTCGGTTCAGACAAACAGATAGGGAAACGTATTCATCCAGATTGGTTTATGTGGGTGTAAGATAGAATAAATACAGATTTAATTACTTTCTCTAACTATGCATCTGGTTCCCTTTTAGCTAACCACATGCAGCCATAGGCCATATACACTTAGAAAACAAGGTGCTATCTAGAACTTAAAAGGGTTCTTCGGCTGTTGAAGAACCCTTTTTGGTTCCAGGTATAACTCTTTTGGGATCCATGTAGAACACTCTGTGGAAAGGGTTCTACATGGATCCCAAAAGAGTTATACCTGGAACCAAAAAGGGTTCTACCTGGAAACAAAAAGGGTTCTCCTATGGGGACAGCCGAATAACCATTTTGGAACCCTTTTTCTAGTGTAGAACAGCCAGACTGCCTGGTCTGCAAGTACCCAGCACGTATTGTACCACACAGCAACAATTCAGACGCCCATTTCTGAGCATCAAGCATTTAAATCTTTCCCCTGAAAAAAAATCCCTCCCATTCTTCTCTTCTCCAGACTTGACCTTTAAATGTTCTCATTTGTTTGTTCTGGTTTGTGGGCACAAAAATGTGCTGGTATCAGCTGTCACACACCAGCCTGGACAAAGGAACCTAATGTGTGGAGACTTAATGAGGTTTGGTGATGTGACATTCTCTGGAAGGTGTCTGTTCTCTAGTCTCTTCTAGTTCAGCACACCCCTCTCTCTCTCTCTTTCTCTATATATATATATATATCTCTCTCTCCGTCGGTCTGGGTGTCTGTCTGCTTTGTACATCATCTCAGAGCCTCACAGAGACAGATAGTATGTTATCATCTGTACTACTTTAATCTACTGAGGTTTAGCCAAACCTTCATTTATCTCTGTTAAAGACTACTGCCAGACTTGCCGGAGCAGTGTGTAGGGGGGTGAGATAGTGGTGTCTTCTAGTATGTGCGTGTGTGTCTGCCACAGTGTGATATGGAAGTGATGTTATTCATGGTAAATTAGATCAATCTCAGAACTGATAAATCCCAGAGAGAGAGAGAGAGAGAGAAAACATGAGCATTCACATGGATCTGGAGAGAGAGAGAAGGAGTTTTTCCATTGACCTTTGAAGGAGTGAGTTGACAATAACAGTTGAGATGGAGAGAGTGAAAGTTGGTGAAAAATATAATACAGGGAATGAGTTCAATTGGGATCTGTCATTGGTATTGATGATAGGGAACCTCACTCTCTCGGTCCCTCTCTCCCCCTCTCCTCTCCTCTCCCAGGTTCTACTGGGACCTGATCATGTTGTGTCTGATGATATGGAACCTCTCTCTCTCCCCCTCTCCTCTCCTCTCCTCTCCTCTCCCAGGTTCTACTGGGACCTGATCATGTTGTGTCTGATGATATGGAACCTCTCTCTCTCCCCCTCTCCTCTCCTCTCCTCTCCCAGGTTCTACTGGGACCTGATCATGTTGTGTCTGATGATAGGGAACCTCTCTCTCTCTCTCTCCCCCTCTCCTCTCCTCTCCCAGGTTCTACTGGGACCTGATCATGTTGTGTCTGATGATGTGGAACCTCTCTCTCTCCCCCTCTCCTCGCCTCTCCCCTCCTCTCCCAGGTTCTACTGGGACCTGATCATGTTGTGTCTGATGATATGGAACCTCTCTCTCTCCCCCTCTCCTCTCCTCTCCTCTCCCAGGTTCTACTGGGACCTGATCATGTTGTGTCTGATGATAGGGAACCTCTCTCTCTCCCTCTCTCCCCCTCTCCCGTCCTCTCCCCTCCTCTCCCAGGTTCTACTGGGACCTGATCATGTTGTGTCTGATGATAGGGAACCTCTCTCTCTCCCCCTCTCCCCTCCTCTCCTCTCCCAGGTTCTACTGGGACCTGATCATGTTGTGTCTGATGATATGGAACCTCTCTCTCTCCCCCTCTCCTCTCCTCTCCTCTCCCAGGTTCTACTGGGACCTGATCATGTTGTGTCTGATGATGGGGAACCTGATCATCCTGCCAGTAGGGATCACCTTCTTTAAGGATGAGAACACTCCTCCCTGGATCATCTTCAACGTGGTCTCTGATACTCTCTTCCTGGTCGACCTGGTCCTCAACTTCAGGACCGGTATCGTCAAGGAGGACAGCACTGAGATACTGCTAGACCCCAAGTCAGTGTGTGTTTGTGTTTGTGCGTGTGTGTGTGTTTGTGTTAGTGTGTTTGTGTTTGTGTGTGTGTGTTTTGAAGGTGACAGAGCTGGAGGCAATGCTTCCCTGTGTGGTGTTCTTCCAGAATTAGAATGAATGGAGTGGTTTGTTATTTATTCTGTGCTAAGCCAACTGTAAGACCATAGGAATAATATCAGAATGCTAAGCTAACTGTGAGACTATAGGAATTACTTTTATATTATGCTATGCTACCACAGGGCTATCCGTCAGCGCTACCTAAAGAGCTGGTTCGCGGTGGACTTTGTGTCGTCCATCCCTGTGGACTACATCTTCCTGATGGTGGACCTGGAGGCCCGGCTGGACTCAGAGGTTTACAGGACGGCCAGGGCCCTCCGCATCGTACGCTTCACCAAGATCCTCAGCCTGCTACGCCTGCTGCGTCTGTCACGACTCATACGCTACATCCATCAGTGGGAGGAGGTGAGAGGCCGGGGTAGAGGGGGAGAGGAGGAGAGGAGGTAGAGAAAGAGGGGAGGAAGGGAAAGGAAAAAGAGACTTACTACCACTGTCACAACTCACTGGTTACATCCTCCAGAGAGAGGGTAGAGGGCAGTCAGTGGAACATGCCAGAGAGGAGGGAGAGAGGGAGGTGAGGAGAGAGGAGAGAGGGAGGTGAGAGGAGAGAGGAGGTGAGAGGAGGAGGAGGGAGGAGAGAGAGGGTGAGAGGAGGGAGGAGAGAGGGAGGTGAGAGGAGGGAGGAGTGGGAGGTGAGAGGAGGGAGGAGAGAGGGAGGTGAGAGGAGAGAGGGAGGAGAGAGGGAGGGTGAGAGGAGGGAGGTGAGGGAGGGAGTGAGAGAGAGGAGGAGAGGGAGGAGAGAGGGGAGGAGAGGAGGGGGAGGAGGGGTGAGAGAGGAGGGAGGAGGGAGCGGGAGGGAGAGGGAGGGGGAGGAGGAGGGGAGAGGGCGGGAGGAGAGAGGGGAGGTTGAGAGGAGAGAGGGAGGAGAGAGGAGGGAGGAGGAGGAGAGGGAGGGAGAGAAGGAGGGAGGGAGAGAAGAGAGGGAGGTGACGAGGAAGAGAGGGAGGGAGACGAGGAGGAGAGGGAGGTGAGAGGAGAGGGAGGAGAGAGGGAGGGGAGAGGAGGGAGGGAGGAGGAGGGGAGAGGGAGGGGAGAGAGGGAGGGAGAGGGAGGGAGGGTAGGGAGAGAGGGAGGGGAGAGGAGAGAGGGGGGTGAGCGGAGTGAGAGGAGAGAGGGAGCGTGAGAGGAGGGAGGAGAGAGGGAGGAGAGAGAGGGTGAGAGGAGGGAGGAGGAGGAGGGAGGTTCTGAGTTGGAGAGGCGGGAGGTGAGAGGAGGGAGGCGAGAGGGAGGTGAGAGGAGGGAGCGTGAGAGGAGGGAGGGGAGAGGCGAGGTGATGTAGAGCGCGGAGAGGAGAGGCGAGGTGAGAGGAGAGAGGAGGGAGGAGGATGAGAGGGAGGAGAGAGGGAAGGTGAGCGGGAGAGATGGGAGGAAGAGAGGGAGGTGAGAGAGGGAGGGTGAGAGGCGGGAGGAGAGAGGGAGGAGGAGGGGCGAGAGGGATGGGAAGAGGAGAGCGGAGAGAGAGGGGAGGGTGAGAGGAGGGGAGGAGAAGAGGGAGGTGAGAGGAGAGAGGGAGGAGAGGAGAGGTGAGAGGGGAGAGGGAGGAGCGAAGAGGGAGGTGAGAGGCGGGGAGGCGGAGAGAGGGAGGGAAAGGGGGAGGTGAGAGGAGAGAAGGATGAGGAGAGGGAGGTGGTGAGCGGAGGGAGGAGGAGAGGGAGGTGAGAGGAGAGAGGGAGGGAGAGAGGGAGGTGAGAGGAGAGAGGGAGGTGAGAGGAGCGAGGAGGGGGAGGGGGAGAGAGAGGGAGGTGAGAGGCGGGAGGAGTGGAGGTGAGGTGAGATGAGGGAGGAGATGAGGAGGGGTGAGAGGAGGGAGGAGAGAGGGGAGTGAGAGGAGGGGAGGTGGAGGAGGGGGGGAGAAAGAGGGAGGAGAGAGGGCGGTGAGAGGGGAGAGAGGGAGCGGAGAGAGGGAGGTGAGAGGAGGTGAAGGAGAGAGGGAGGGAGAGGCGAGAGGGAGGGTGAGAGGGAGGTGAAGAGGAGAGAGGGAGGTGAGAGGGAAAGGGGATCAGGTGAGAGGAGGTGAGAGCGAGGAGGAGAGAGATGAGTCTTCGAGAGAGGGAGGAGAAGAGGGAGGTGAGAGGCGAGAGGAGGGAGGAGAGGAGAGGGAGGAGAGAGGGAGGTGAGAGGGAGGTGAGAGGAGAGAGGGAGGAGAGAGGGAGGGTGAGAGGAGGGAGGAGAGAGGGAGGTGAGAGGGGAGGGGTAGAGGAGGGAGGAGGGAGGTAAGAGGGAAGAGGGAGGAGAGAGGGAGGTGAGAGGAGAGAGGGAGGAGAGAGGGAGTTGAGAGGAGGAGGTGAGAGGAGGAGGGAGGAGAGAGGGAGGTGAGAGGAGGGAGGAGAGAGGGAGGTGAGAGGAAAGAGGGAGGAGAGAGGAGGGAGGTGAGAGGTGAGAGGAAAGAGGGAGGAGAGAGGAGGGAGGTGAGAGGAGGGAGGAGAGAGGGAGGTGAGAGGAGGGAGGAGAGAGGGAGGTGAGAGGAGAGAGGGAGAGGCTGAGAGGGGGAAAAGAGAGGTCAGCGCAGTATAGGGGAAAGAGAGACCGCTAGGGGGGCAGCCGATCTATCTCTTCATTGGGGAAGAGGCACCTATGATAAAAGGTGCCCGCGCAAGACGTTAATAAACTAACGTGATGTCAAACTCTCCCCCTCCAGATCTTCCATATGACCTATGACCTGGCCAGTGCCATGGTGAGGATAGTCAACTTGATAGGCATGATGCTGCTGCTGTGCCACTGGGACGGATGTCTACAGTTCCTGGTTCCCATGCTGCAGGACTTCCCCCTGGACTGCTGGGTCTCCAAGAACAACATGGTGGTGAGTTACACGTCTCTCTCTCTCTCTCTCTCTCTCTCTCTCTCTCTCTCTCTCTCTCTCTCTCTCTCTGTGACTGTCTGTCTGTCTGACTGTCTGTCCATGCCTGTCTGTTTATCTGTCTGTCTGTCTATCTGTCTTTCTGTCTGTCTGACTGCTGGGTCTCCAAGAACAACAAGGTGGTGAGTTAGTTACATGGGGACTGAGACATGGAGAGAAATGTTGACACACTCACAAATGGAGGGCTTGTGTGCACAGTGTGTGATATTATTGATATTGTGTGTTTGTGTGCACTGATTACGGGGTATGTGGACCGAATGTGTGTGTAGACAGAGAGTGAGAGGAGAGAGAGAGAGGGGGAGTGTGTGTGTCCTCTTGATGGATGTTGTTTGCTCTCTGTGTTAGTTAATTGGCTCATGTAGCAGCATGTCTGGTCGGAATAAAAGGGACTATCAACACAATAAAACATGTCCCAATTTAAACATCCTACAGATGGAGTAGATGGAGATATGAACACACCCACGCCCACACAAACACACGCACATACACACACACGGTTGTGTGTTTCGCTGACTCACGTCTCGGTAGTGTTTCCTCAGTGGTTGCCGGGGTGACTGTTGCTAGGCCAGCTGATGCTGAGAGTTCTCCCCCAGAGAACGCCACGTGCCACCCGCCGGACCATTTAACAGAACAGGATATAATTGGCCTCACACACACACCATCAATCACAAACACAATCACTCACTCACACACACACACACACACACACACACACACACAATCACACACACAATCTCACACACACACACACACACACACACACAATCACACACACAATCTCACACACACTCAGCCTGAGATAAATACTGTATACTGTAGGTCTCTAATATTCATCATGCTTCATTGCATGATTGGCTAACACACACTGGGTTTATAACATATTTTAGGGCCATTTTATGATGATTATGATTATTATTATTCTCTAGCTTTTTGCCTGTGAGTAGTCTGTTTTACACAGCAGGAAGTGGAAAAGCAATGAGCACTTTACAGTCCCAGATATAGCCTAGGTTGTAGCTATTACCTCCCTCCCTCTCTTCCACCTTCCTCTCCCTCTCCCTCTTCCTCTTCTTCTCTGTCTCCCTCTGTAGAATGACATGTGGGCGGTCTCCAATAGCCTGTTTAACTCTCTCTCTCTATCTCTCTCACTGTCCAGAATGATACGTGGGGGATCCAATACTCATATGCCCTGTTCAAGGCGATGAGCCACATGTTGTGTATTGGCTACGGTGCCCAGGCTCCAGAGGGCATGACAGACGTGTGGCTCACCATGCTCAGTATGATCATTGGTGCCACCTGCTATGCCATGTTCATCGGCCATGCCACTGCTCTCATACAGTCCCTGGACTCCTCACGACGACAGTACCAGGAGAAAGTAAGAGATTAGGACCCTCTCTATCCCTCAAGCCACTCTCGCTCTCCAGGCCTAAGCCGCACTCCAACTGCAGATCTAGCGCGCCCGCCATCGCGCGCCAGGCAGCGAGCGCGCCCGCCAGCGCGCGCCAGCGCGAGCCATACCACAGCGCGGCGCCACAGCCAGATCGCGCGCAGAGAACCCGCCATCCACGGCGCGCCAGGACGAGACGCCCGCCATCAGCGCTCACGCAGAGACGCCAGACAGCCGACCAGAAGCGAGCCAGCGCGCGCCCCCAAGCCCATTCCTAGAGGGAGCCGCTACCAGACTCACTCGCCAGTCAGCTAGGTCCCTCCACCATAGCGATAGAAAGTAATCGAGCACGCACTACATAATTCTAGAATGATATAAGAAATCAAGCACCGCAGAGCGAGCGTCTACAGTACTCGATACCAGCCACAATCGTAGCTTCTCCAGTCATCGATCACTACCTCCATCTCTACTCTGCCATTCTCATTCCCACATCGATCTCTAAGTTCCAATGCATCGATCCACCTCACTTCCCTCCCTCCAATCTCTCTGCTCTCATGGCCCTGCTATCCGCCTCCATTCTAGCTCTCTTTTCATTCCTAGAAATCCCTCACCTACACTCTGCTCCTCCATGTTGCGTTATTTAAACGTGTAGTAAGGTGTAGGTCACGTTTATTAGTTGTATTAACGTTGTATTAATGTTGTATTAACGTTGTATTAATGTTGTATTCACGTTGTATTAATATTGTATTGATGTTGTATTAATGTTGTATTGACGTTGTATTACCGTTGTATTGACGTTGTATTGATGTTGTGTTCCAGTATAAGCAGGTGGAGCAGTACATGTCGTTCCATAAGCTCCCTGCAGATGTCCGTCAGCGGATTCATGAGTACTACGAGCATCGCTTCCAGGGCAAGATGTTTGACGAGGAGAACATACTGGGTGAACTCAGCGAACCGCTAAAGGAGGTAACACACACACACAATGCACGTGCACACACACACGCACGAGACACGTACACACACACACACGCACGAGGCACGCATGCAGGCATACACGCACACACACAGTTACAAGTTACGAAAGCTAGCTGTAGCATAACAACAACTCAAACACATTTTACATTAAAGAAAATGAAAATGTACTGATACAATTCAGTTCTTGTGCATTTTAACTCACTTCCCAACTCCTCTCCCTCCCCCTCTCTTTCTCCCCTCTCTTTCTCCCTCTCTCTTTCTCCCCCTCTTTTTCTCCCTCTCTCAGGCGATAGTTAGCTTTAACTGCCGTAGCCTGGTGGCTCACATGCCGCTGTTTGCTAACGCGGACCCTAACTTTGTGACGGCGGTGCTGACCAAGCTTCGCTTCGAGGTGTTCCAGCCCAATGACTTAATCATCCGTGAGGGCACGATGGGACGCAAGATGTACTTCATCCAACACGGACGAGTCGGCATACTCACCCGCGGAAACAAGGAGACCAAACTCAGTGACGGGTCCTACTTTGGGGGTGAGGAGAGGAGGTAGAAGGGGGAGGGAGGGGTGAGGATAAGGACAGGGTGAGGAAAAAGAGAAATTTTACAATTTCTTCAACAAAATCTTATTTTTTCCACTCTCTCCCACCCCTCTTCCCTTCTCCCTCTTCATCCACACCTCCCCTCCCTCCTCTCTCTCTCCTAATCTCCCTCTCTCTCTCTCTCTCTCCCTCTCTCTCAGAGATCTGTCTGTTGACTCGGGGCCGGAGGACGGCGAGCGTCAGAGCGGATACGTACTGTCGTCTCTACTCCCTCAGCGTGGACAGCTTCAACGAGGTCCTGGAGGAACACCCCATGATGAGGCGGGCCTTCGAGACCGTTGCCGTCGACCGGTTGGACCGCATCGGTACTATACCTCTCCCGATTGGCTCAAGCATCTGCCAATCGGTCCATTACTTGCAATGACTTACAGTTTTCAATTCAGTTTCATTTCTATAGCGCTTTGTGCAAAGACCTTGCCAGTGAATAGCATTTTTCTAATCAATTCAGATTGTATTTCTAAAGCGCTTTGTAAAGTGACCTTACAGTTGCAGAAGCCCTTCGAAGCAGGTTAAGGGAGCGAGAAACTGAAAGAAAATCTCAGAGAGCTAATAGAACAGAGACCTACAGTGAGGGAAAAAAGTATTTGATCCCCTGCTGATTTTGTACGTTTGCCCACTGACAAAGACATGATCAGTCTATAATTTTAATGGTAGGTTTATTTGAACAGTGAGAGACAGAATAACAACAAAAATGTTATAAATTGATTTGCATTTTAATGAGGGAAATAAGTATTTGACCCCTCTGCAAAACATGACTTAGTACTTGGTGGCAAAACCCTTGTTGGCAATCACAGAGGTCAGACGTTTCTTGTAGTTGGCCACCAGGTTTGCACACATCTCAAGAGGGATTCTGTCCCACTCCTCTTTGCAGATCTTCTCCAAGTCATTAAGGTTTCGAGGCTGACGTTTGGCAACTCGAACCTTCAGCTCCCTCCACAGATTTTCTATGGGATTAAGGTCTGGAGACTGGCTAGGCCACTCCAGGACCTTAATGTGCTTCTTCTTGAGCCACTCCTTTGTTGCCTTGGCCTTGTGTTTTGGGTCATTGTCATGCTGGAATACCCATCCACGACCCATTTTCAATGCCCTGGCTGAGGGAAGGAGGTTCTCACCCAAGATTTGACGGTACATTGCCCCGTCCATCGTCCCTTTGATGCAGTGAAGTTGTCCTGTCCCCTTAGCAGAAAACACCCCCAAAGCATAATGTTTCCACCTCCATGTTTGATGGTGGGGATGGTGTTCTTGGGGTCATAGGCAGCATTCCTCCTCCTCCAAACACGGCGAATTGAGTTGATGCCAAAGAACTCGATTTTGGTCTCATCTGACCACAACACTTTCACCCAGTTCTCCTCTGAATCATTCAGATGTTCATTGGCAAACTTCAGACGGTCCTGTATATGTGCTTTCTTGAGCAGGGGGACCTTGCGGGCGCTGCAGGATTTCAGTCCTTCATGGCGTAGTGTGTTACCAATTGTTTTCTTGGTGACTATGGTCCCAGCTGCCTTGAGATCATTGACAAGATCCTCCCGTGTAGTTCTGGGCTGATTCCTCACCGTTTCACATGATAAATGCAACTCCACGAGGTGAGATCTTGCATGGAGCCCCAGGCCGAGGGAGATTGACAGTTCTTTTGTGTTTCTTCCATTTGCGAATAATCGCACCAACTGTTGTCACCTTCTCACCAAGCTGCTTGGCGATGGTCTTGTAGCTGTCACGATTTAACTAGATATGAACCCAAATGCAGACAACTACACCGAGCCAGAGAAGGTTTAACAGGTTTATTTACAAAAGTTCAATTTGTCCAGGTTTCCAATAATAGGGGAAGAGCAAGTCCAGGTTAACAGGGAGGGTAACAGATCCAGGTTCAGAGCAGGAGTGGTACCGTAACGTCCTAGTGTCCGTGGTGAGTCCAAAAGGAAGGTCCGGTAGTGGTAAGCAGGATGGTGGTGGCAGGAGTGAAGCGGAGGCAGGAGTCAGGTTCCAATAATATGGTAGTCTTGACTATGATCTGACGATGAGTGGCAAGTTTGACCGGGTCTTAAAGGCTGAGGTGATTATGGTGAATGAGCTGCAGCTGGAACCCTGACTCCCGCACACCAGACTTCACTCCTGCAATCAAGGACAGACAGAGGGGAGGGAGAGAGCAGAGAGAGAGCTACCTAGCAGCAGTAGGCCTAACAGTACCCCCCCCTCTACGGACGCCACCTGGCGGCCGACAGGGTTTATCGGGATGTAACCTATGAAATTCATGGACCAGAGCAGGATCCACAATGAAGCTCCTGGGCACCCAGGAACGTTCCTCAGGACCATAACCCTCCCAATCCACCAGGTACTGGAAACCACGACCCTGGCGGCGAACATCCAGAAGTCGCCGGACAGTGTAGACAGGACCCCCACCCACGATCCTGGGCGGAGGAGGGGGACGAGAGGGCGGGCACAGAGGGCTAACAGACACAGGCTTAATCTGTGAAACATGAAAAGTGGAATGAACCCGTAGGGAGGCAGGAAGCTGTAGCTTAACTGCGCAGGGGTTAACAATAGACAGTATCTTGAACGGTCCTATAAAACGCGGCGCCATCTTCTTAGACTCCACTTTCAATGGAAGATCACGTGACTTAAGCCATACCTCTTGACCAGGAGAGTAACCGGGAGCCTGGGACCGGTGACGGTTGGCTTGCCTCTGCATGTATGACGAAGCTCGGGACAGAGCTACCCTGGCCTTCCTCCAGACCTTGAAGCAGCGGCGCATGTGGGACTGCACCGAGGGTACCGCCAGTTCCCTCTCTTGAGAAGGGAACAGGGGAGGTTGATAACCCAGAGCACACAGAAAGGGAGACAAACCAGAGGAAGCGTTAGTCAAGGTGTTATGAGCATATTCCACCCAGGGGAGCATGGAGCTCCATGACCCAGGGTTAGACCCTGTGACACAGCGGAGAGCGGTCTCCATCTCCTGGTTCGCTCTCTCGGCTTGCCCGTTGGTCTGGGGATGATATCCCGAGGACAGGCTGGATGTGATGCCCAAAGCTTTACAGAACGCCTTCCATACCTGGGAGACAAACTGGGGACCCCTGTCAGAGACAATATCAGAGGGTAAACCATGAAAGCGGAACACATGTTCAACCAAAATATCAGCCGTCTCTCTGGCCGTGGGCAGTTTAGGTAGAGCCAAAAAATGAGCGAACTTAGAAAAACGATCAATCACAGTAAAAATGACAGTCTTTCCGGACGAGGGGGGAAGTCCAGTGACAAAATCCATGGCAATGTGCGACCAGGGCCGGCTGGGTATTGGCAGAGGTCGTAGATGACCAGCGCTGGCCTGGGTGGAGTTTTTACTTCGTGCACATACCGTACAAGCAGCAATGAAGGCTTGAGTGTCCGCCTCCATCCTGGGCCACCAGAACTTCCGTCGCACAAAGTCAAGGGTCCGCGTAACTCCAGGGTGACAGGTAAGGGGAGACAAGTGAGCCCACTGAAGTACCTGGGAGCGAACAGCCTCAGGGACAAACAACCGGTTAGGAGGACCCCTCCCAGGGTCAGCTTGATGATGTTGAGCCTGTCTAACAATCCCCTCGATGTCACATGTGATGGCCGCAATACTGCTGGTAGGAGGCAAGATGGGTTCAGGGTTACTACCAGTATCAACAGCCGAATGAACACGAGACAGGGCGTCAGGCTTGACGTTGCGTGACCCAGGACGGTAAGACAGAGAAAAATTGAATCTCCCAAAAAATTGTGCCCACCTGGCTTGACGGGGGTTGAGCTGCTTCGCTGACTGGATGTATGCCAGATTCTTATGATCCGTCCAAACGATGAAGGGTTGTTCCGCCCCCCTCCAACCAATGCCGCCACTCCTCGAGAGCCCAGCTTAACGGCGAGCAGTTCACGATTGCCAACATCATAATTTCTCTCTGCCTGAGAAAGTTTCCTTGAAAGAAAAGCACAGGGATGCAGTTTGTTATCTTCAGGAGAACGTTGTGACAACACCGCACCTACCCCAGTGTCGGATGCATCCACCTCTACGACAAACTGGCGGTCGGGGTCCGGCTGCATCAGAATGGGAGCCGAGGCGAAGCGATGTTTCAGTTCTTCGAACGCTGATTCGGCCCCTTCATTCCAAGCAAACGGTCGTGAGATGGAGGTGAGAGCGGTGAGTGGCGCCGCAATGCGGCTGTAGTCCTTGATGAACCTCCTGTAGAAGTTTGCAAACCCCAGGAATCGTTGAAGTTGTTTGCGGGTGGAGGGGGCTGGCCAGTCCGTGACAGCAGAGATCTTAGCTGGGTCCATCCGCAACTCCCCCTGAGCTATTATGTAACCCAAAAAAGAGGTCTCAGACACATGAAACTCACATTTCTCCATCTTCACAAATAGCTTGTTCTCCAACAACCTTTGCAACACCTGGCCCACATGCAGTTCATGTTCCTGGGAGGACTCAGAGAAAATCAGGATATCATCCAGATAGACAAAAACAAAACGATTCAACATGTCCCGAAGGACATCGTTCACTAGTGCCTGAAAAACAGCAGGGGCATTAGACAACCCAAAAGGCATGACCAGATACTCAAAATGTCCCAAGGGTGTGTTGAAGGCAGTCTTCCATTCATCACCCTTACGAATGCGCACCAGGTGATACGCATTTCGTAGATCCAGTTTGGTAAAGATAGTTGCACCATGTAGGAGGGGAAAAGCAGAATTAATTAAAGGCAGAGAATATTTGTTCTTAATGGTGATGTTGTTAAGTCCACGGAAATCAATACAGGGTCTGAGGGTCTTATCCTTCTTTCCAACAAAAAAGAATCCTGCTCCTACAGGTGACGAGGAAGGACGAATAATACCTGCCGCCAAGGAGTCCCGAATGTAGTTCTCCATAGCCTCCGTCTCCGGGCGGGGAGAGATTGTACAGGCGACTGCTGGGGAGAGGGGCTCCTGGCTGGAGGTCAATGGCGCAGTCGTAAGGCCGGTGAGGAGGAAGAGAAGTAGCTCTGTGTTTGCAGAAAACGGATGCCAGGTCATGATACACGTCAGGGACAGCAGAGAGATCCATGGACTCCAGTGGAGGTTGAGGCACAGTGCTGGCAGGGGTCTGAGCAGAACACAAACAATTCACATGACAAAATGTGCTCCATGAAACAATTCTACCTGTCACCCAATCAATGTGTGGATTGTGTCTTATGAGCCAGGGGATACCAAGGATCAGGGGAGTCTGAGGGCAGTCAATGATGTGAAACTGAATGTTCTCCTGATGATTACCCGACACTCTGAGACAAACAGGCACAGTCTGATGAGTAATACGGGTCAACAATTGTCCATTTAGACCAGGGGTGTCAAACGTACGGCCCGCGGGCCAGATCAGGCCCGCAAACGGGTTTAATCCGGCCGCGAGATGATTTAGAAAAAAAAAAAAAAAAAAAAAACATATTTTTTTTTTTTTTTTTTTTTGTAAAGTATAAAAATGCGCTGCAATTTTTCAATTAAATAAACTGCTGTTCCAATTGCGTCCACTGGATGGCGCAATAGCAATTGTGTTAAGCAAGCAAACTGTTTATACCGGGGCAGAGCAAGTAGGTCAAGCACGTGCAGCCGATGAGCTACTTTGTTTTGCCCACGATATTTATTACGGCTTCTACTTTTAACATTATGTGCTTTGGCACCCTCATTGCCCCAATATGTCTCTGTCAAAAAAGAGAAAAGTGGACGCAGAGTGCAGAGTGTTCCAAGAAAAATTGTCATCCTATTTATTCACGGAATTGAATGGGAAAGCTGTATGTTTGGTGTGTTCAGAGCATGTTGCAGTGCTGAAAGAATATAACCTTCGTCGCCACTATGTGAGTCTTCATGCCGACAAATATGACAACTTTCAAGGACAGCGGAGATGAGAGAAGGTGAATGAACTGTTGGCGGGTCTGAAGGAACAGCAGTCTGTGTTTACTCACAGCCGAGACATCAGTGACGCTGCAGTGAAAGCTAGCTACCTCATTGCTAATGAAATCACAGTGGCTTCAAAACCATTTAGTGAGGGTGAATTTGTAAAAACATGCATGATGAAGGCAGCGTAGATTGTGTGCCCTGAAAAGCGGCAGGCTTTTGCAAATATCAGCCTGACAAGAAACACAGTTGCAGACAGGATTTCCGATCTTTCAGTGGATTTGGACAGCCAGTTGAAGCAAAAAGTAAAGTCATTTATTGCGTTTTCGGTTGCAATTGATGAAAGCACGGACATTACAGATTTGCACAACTGGCCATTTTCATCCGCGGAGTTGATGACACATTGACCGTCACCGAGGAGTTCGTGGAGTTGGTGCCGATGACAGATACAACGACAGCAGCTGATATTTTTACCACACTCGTCGGCGCGCTGGACAGGGTCGGAGTGGACTGGTCCCGCGCTGTCAGCCTGGCTACAGATGGTGCGCCCTCAATGATCGGGAAAAAAGCAGGCGTTTGTGACAAAGTTCAGAGAGAAAGTGCAATCTGCAAATGGAGGACGTGATTTTTTTGACTTTTCACTGTATTTTGCACCAGGAGGCTTTGTGTTGCAAGTCATTAAAGATGGATAACGTCATGAAGGTGGTCATCCAAACTGTTAATTTCATCCGATCCAGAAGCCTGAATCACCGTCAGTTTGACAGCCTTCTCAGAGAGAAAGACCACATCTATGGCCCTGCCATACCACACTGAGGTAAGATGGTTAAGCCGAGGTGCTGTGCTGAGGCGTTTCTTTGATTTACGAGAAGAAATTGAACAGTTCATGGAAGAAAAGGGCAAACCAGTGTTAGAATTTCATTCCGCAGAATGGATGCAGGACCTTGCATTTATGGTGGATGTTACAGAGCACCTGAATAACTTGAACAAACAGCTGCAAGGGCGCAACAAAGTTGTCACGCAGTATTATGACAGCATACGTTCTTTCAAGTTGAAGCTGTCATTGTGGGAGACGCAACTTGCCGGTGGTGATGCAGCTCACTTCCCCTGTCTGAAAAATGTGTGCGCGACCCCAACATGTGGCAGACATGAAGCGGTTCAAAGATAAAATAACGGGACTGTTACGGGAGTTTGAGCAACGCTTTCAGATTTATGTTTATGTTTTTATGTTGATGTGCTATTGTTTTTATTTGTATATTTAACCTATTCTTGACTCTGTGGTTCTTGCACTTGTTTGGGGAACAGGATTTCATTATTTGTATCTACATTTCTGCCTGAGAAATGACACCCTGATATAGTTCTGTGATCTGTGATATACTTCTGTGAATCACTGAGGCATTGTGTGTTTGTGTGTTCTTTGTCCTCAGAACTTTCAAATAACTTGAGGTGTTTTATGATTAATAGTGATGTTGTGCTTTTGGACACTGTCCTCAGGCTCCAGCTTTATGTTTATATGTTTTTATGTTGATGTGCTATTGTTTTTAATTGATTTTATTTTATTTGTATATTTAACCTATTCTTGACTATGTGGTTCTTGCACTTGTTTGGGGAACAGGATTTCATTATTTTTATCTACATTTCTGCCTGAGAAATGACACCCTGATATAGTTCTGTGATCTGTGAAACAGTTCTGTTAATCACTGAGGCATTGTGTGTTTGTGTGTTCTTTTTCTTTAGAATTTTCAAATAAACTTGACGTGTTTTATGATTAATAGTGATGTTGTGCTTGTACTATTTTGGACACACTGTCCTCAGGCTCCAGCTTTATGTTGTATGTTGATCGTATTAAAACAAAGAAAACAATCTGAAGTTGTTGTTTTTAAGTTATATATACCATGATTTTTCCGGTCCGGCCCACTTGGGAATAGATTTTCCTCCATGTGGCCCCTGAGCTAAAATGAGTTTGACACCCCTGATTTAGACCCTTAGCCTGCAGCGGATGGTCCATAGGTACAGTCTCTAAATCCATTTGTTGAGCCAACTCTCGATCCAAAAAGCTTTCATCGGCACCAGAGTCAACCAGCGCACTAACAGGGAAAACCTGGGACTGCCACTGGAGGGATGCCTGGAGCAGAATGCGGGGAGAAGAGGAAGAATCCGCTGCTCGGCTCACCAAAACTTCTCCCATTAATGATGAGCCGGCCCTTTTCCCGGACGAACTGGGCAGGAAGGAACGAAATGACCAGCTTCTCCACAATACAGGCAGACCCGAGCCTGAATACGACGTGCCCGCTCCTCTGAGGACAACCGTGCACGACCCACCTCCATGGCTTCGGATTCAGTGCTCCTAGTATCGACTCGGGAAGACTCGGCCCTCTCCTTAGGGAAGAGGCGGGGAGGAGTTGGTCGACGACAGACAGGTTGCTTGGAACTACCACTCCTCTCCCGGCGGCGCTCCCGAATCCGATTATCCAACCTGATGGTGAGTGAAATAAGATTATCCAGCGTAGGCGATTCATCATATGACACCAATTCATTCTTCAAGGTCTCAGCCAAAGCATTAATGAACACTCCTTGTAATGCCTCGTCATTCCAACCACTCACTGCCGCTAAAGTTCGAAACTCCACTGCCATCTCCGCCACACTGCGAGACCCCTGCCGAAGAGACAACAAACGTTTAGCAGCCTCCTTGCCCCGTACGGGGTGGTCGAAAACCTTCCTCATCTCAGTGGTGAAGGCAACGTAAGCGTTGCAAATGTCCGACTGGCTCTCCCAGACCGCGGATCCCCAGGAACGAGCGGAACCGCTAGTAGAGTTGATAAGGTAGGCAATACGGGCTCTTTCGGAGGCATAGGTGAGGGGCTGTTGTTCAAACACCAACGAGCACTGAGTCAAAAAATCACCACAGGTTCCCATGTTCCCGTCATAGCGCTCTGGAGCAGGAACAAAAGGCTCTCTGATCTGGGCTGGAGGGGCAAGAAAAAACAGGCGGAGCAGGAGAAGGAGCAGTTTGTATGCCATGCACGAGGGGTGCATTATTAACTTGAGTAGTAAGGGCAGACACTTGATTGGTGAGTAATTGAACCTGATTAAGCAGCACCTGACTGTTCTCAGAAATAGTCTTAAACAAGGTATCATGTTGGCCAAGTAAAATGCCCTGATTGGCTATGGCAGTCCGAATCTGAGTGCACTCTGGGGTGGTATCCGAGCTACTGTCTGCTGGGTTCATGTTGGTCAGATCATACTGTCACGATTTAACTAGAAATGAACCCAAATGCAGACAACTACACCGAGCCAGAGAAGTTTTAACAGGTTTATTTACAAAAGTTCAATTTGTCCAGGTTTCCAATAATAGGGGAAGAGCAAGTCCAGGTTAACAGGGAGGGTAACAGATCCAGGTTCAGAGCAGGAGTGGTACCGTAACGTCCTAGTGTCCGTGGTGAGTCCAAAAGGAAGGTCCGGTAGTGGTAAGCAGGATGGTGGTGGCAGGAGTGAAGCGGAGGCAGGAGTCAGGTTCCAATAATATGGTAGTCTTGACTATGATCTGACGATGAGTGGCAAGTTTGACCGGGTCTTAAAGGCTGAGGTGATTATGGTGAATGAGCTGCAGCTGGAACCCTGACTCCCGCACACCAGACTTCACTCCTGCAATCAAGGACAGACAGAGGGGAGGGAGAGAGCAGAGAGAGAGCTACCTAGCAGCAGTAGGCCTAACAGTAGCCCATTCCAGCCTTGTGTAGGTCTACAATTTTTTCCCTGACATCCTTGGAGAGCTCTTTGGTCTTGGCCTTGGTGGAGAGTTTGGAATCTGATTGATTGATTGCATCTGTGGACAGGTGTCTTTTATACAGGTAACAAGCTGAGATTATGAGCACTCCTTTAAGAGTGTGCTCCTAATCTCAGCTCGTTACCTGTATAATAGACACCTGGGAGCCAGAAATCTTTCTGTTTGAGAGGGGTTCAAATACTTATTTCCCTCATTAAAATGCAAATCAATTTATAACATTTTTGACATGTGTTTTTTTTGTTTTTGTTGTTATTCTGTCTCTCACTGTTCAAATAAACCTACCATTAAAATTATAGACTGATCATTTCTTTGTCAGTGGGCAAACGTACAAAATCAGCAGGGGATCAAATACTTTTTTCCCTCACTGTAAGAGAAGACACCTGGTTCTGTTTGTGATCTTTAATCAGCCACTCAGCCCTGTCAGCCTCATTACAACTGTGTTGTTTGATCGTCACTTTATTTTCTACAACTTTGTTCTTGCTCTTGTTTTCGCCCATTTGTGTCAAACAAGAACAGTAACCATCCCCTCCATCAGTTTGTTTCTGTTTTGATCGTTTCATTCTAGTCTCTTCTCTCTCTTTGTTCTCCTCTGCAGGTAGGAAGAACTCTATCCTGATGAGGAAGTCGTCCCAGGCGGGTTCCATGGCGGGGGGCAGCGGTTTGGGGCGTGGGGGTCGAGGAGGAGGGGGGGCGGGGCTAGCCATGGGGGGGCTGGGCTCCTGTGACAGCATGCTGGTTCAGCAGATCGTTAAACACGACAGCATGCCAGCCATGCAGGAGGCCATCGCTGCTGCCGCTGCTGGAAGGGGGGGGGCCACGGGAGGAAGTGGTACGGTCTCCCCTAGGCCCCACCCACTGATCTGGGCTCCACTGATCCACGCTCCGCTCCAGACAGCGGCCGCTACGACTAACGTGGCCATCGCCCTCATGCACCAGCAGCAGCAGCAACAGCAGCTACAACATCAACTACAGCAGCAACATGCGCTAGGGGGCGCTATATTCTTCCCCTCCATCTCTCCATCACCTTCCGTCTCCTTCCCTCTCTCCCCCCCGCGGCCCCCTGTCCTGCAGCCCCTGCGCCCCTCTGTGAGTTCCCTCATTGGGATGATGGGGGTAGGAGGGATGGGAGGGGGAGGGCTGTCCCCTAGAGGGGGGTTTCCTGCCTTCCCCTCCCCCTCGCCCTTCCCCATGGCCCCCCCGGGAGGTGTGATATCATCCCCTGTTGCTCAAACCCCACCCACACCGGCCTCCTCTGTCCCCACGTCGGTCCAATTAGGAAGGACCCTGCACTACAGTCTCCGCCTCCACCCGGAACACCCTTCAGTGATGGGTGGAACCCCAGGAATCCCCAAGGTAGGAGGGGCCACCACACCACATCTGTTCTACCACGTGAATCCAACTGCAGCCACCAGTGTCATGTCAGACACTTGCAGTTCCATGGCTGGCCAGCAGGGGGCCAAGGAGGCACTGTTGCGTCACGGAGGAGGCAGCAACCAGGGCCTGCCTGCACTGGGGAGGCTCACCCAGGAGGCCAGACTCCGCTCCGCCTCGCAGCCCACCCTGCCTCATCGATCCTGGGCAAGCATGCAGCCTCACCCCCCTCTCCAGCGGAAGGCCTCTGGAGGTAACCTGCTGCCAGCCTCGTTCCTGGCTGGGACGCAGCTAACCAGGGGTGGCAGTGTGGGGGTGTTGACTACTCCCCTACCAGTCCAAGTCCCAGCACAACGGTTACAGATGCCCCCCTTCAATGCACAGACACAAGCACAGACCCTGGGCTCTATACAGACCCTCCCTGATCCTGTCTCTACACACTGCCCTGCACACACACACACAGCCACACACACACATCCCATCACTGTACCTGCAGCCACACCCACCTCAGCTTCTCCCCTGGCCTCCTACTCTTCCTCCCCCAAACAAACCCCCCTCTCCTCTGCCACCCCCTCCCCTGCTCCCACTCCTTCCTCCCTCACCCCAGCCCTGCCACTGACCCCTCGCCCCAAACCCACCCCTACACCCCCATCTCGCTCCTCCTCTCCTCCCCCCTGCTCCATCCCTCCCTCTGCCGGAACTACTCCCCTCACCTCAACCGCTCGCTCCAAACCCATCCCTACACCTCCCCCTCACTCTTCTTCCCCCTCTCCCTCCTCCACTCCCCCTCCCTCCTCTGTAACCACCTCTTCCCCCCTCACCTCAACCCCTCGCTCTAAACCCATCCCTACACCTCCCCCTCGTTCTTCTTCACCCTCTCCTTCCTCCACTCCCCCTCCCTCCTCTGTCAGTGCCCCTTTCCCACTTCCACAAACCCATGGGCGCAAGTCCTCTCTCGCATCCCCCTCTCCCCCCTCCTCCTCCCTACCTTCCTCCCCCACTCTTCTCCAGAGCCCCCTAATCAAGCCCTCCCCTACACCCCCCTCCCCTTCCCCTCTATCTGGGCCCACCCCTACCCCCTCTAAAGCCCCTACCCAGACTCATACCCCTACCCCCTCTCAAACACCTTCTCAAACCCCTACTCCTACCCCATTCTCAAACCCCTACCCCTACCCAGACTCGTACCCCTACCCCCTCTCAAACACTTTCTCAAACCCCTACTCCTACCCCTTCTCAAACCCCTACCCCTACCCAGACTCGAACCCCTACCCCCCTCTCAAACACCTTCTCAAACCCCTACTACCCCTTCTAAAACTCCTACCCAGACTCGAACCCCTACCCCCTCTCAAACACCTTCTCAAACCCCTACTACCCCTTCTAAAACTCCTACCCAGACTTGTACCCCTACCCCCTCTCAAACACCTTCTCAAACCCCTACCCCTACCCAGACTCGTACCCCTACCCCCTCTCAAACACCTTCTCAAACCCCTACTCCTACCCCTTCTCAAACCCCTACCCCTAGTCAGACTTGTACCCCTACCCTCTTTCAAACACCTTCTAAAACCCCTACTACCCCTTCTAAAACTCCTACCCAGACTTGTACCCCTACCCCCTCTCAAACACCTTCTCAAACCCCTACCCCTACCCCTTCTCAAATCCCTACCCAGACTCGTACCCCTACCCCTATCCTCTCTCAACCCTCCAATCGTCCCCCTACCCTTATTTCTAGTCCTGTTCCCACTCAGAGCCAAACCCTAACCGCAACCCCCACCCCAGCTGCAACCCCCACCCCAGCCACCACTCCCACCCTAGCCCCAACCTCAACCTTGATTCCCACTCCTTCTTCCAGTAAACCTCCCACCCCTATCTCTATCCCTTCATCTGCCCTTACGCAAAGCCAAACTCTAACCCCAACATCTACCAGTTCTAAAACTCCGGCCCCAACCTCAACTCCAACTCCTACCCCCAAACCTCCCCCTACCCATACTGCCAAACAGACCCCACATATAGCCCCTGTTCAAACCTCCACCCCTACCCCAACACCCACTTCTAAAGCTTCTCTTAGTCCTGCACCCATCGCCTCCGCTGCTCCAATTCAAGCCCCAAAAGGCTCAGCCCACACCCCAAAACAGACCCCAGCTGTCCAAACCCCAGTCCAAACCCCTGCCCCAAAACCCACTTCTAAATGTTCTGTTACCCCCACAATCCCACTTGTTCCTATCCATACCTCAAAACAATCCTCCACCCCCAAACCTGCCTCAACCCATACCCCAAAACAGACCCAACCTTTAGGTCCTGTCCCTACACCTACATCTCCCCCTTACACCACTCATGCTCCCACACTGGCCCCTTCCCAAGCTCCAAAGCTGACCACACCCGTAACACCTGTCCAAACCTCCACTACCACCCTCCCACCCACTCAGTTGGCCCCAGGCCCAGCCACCTCCCTCCTTCAGACATCCTGCCCCCCAGCCGCCTCTGCCCACTCCGCCTCCCCCAAGGGGGGCAAGAAGGACCCTTAGCTGCCTCAGGAAAGGCTAATAGGGACTGAGACAAAAACTGCCTGCCAACATGTGATGGTCCTGGAGGAAATGATCTGATTGGAGGATGGACTTTTCGGGCCAGATATACTGTATAGGTTGTGTCACAAAACACCCCATGCCCCATATAAAGTAGCACACTGTAGGGAATAGGGTACTGCGGATTTGAGTTCAACAAACTATCCTCCAAACGGTCCATGACTTGCGACTAGGTTTTAACTGTTGTTGCCAACATGGCATGCCAAAATTCTAGATTGAAACGGAGTTGGGCAGACTCTGTATGTCTATGGCTCTGGTGACTAGGGCAGGCTAGAGTAGAATCACAGTTGATATTTAAAGTCCAAACATGTACATACATATCTGTGTCAGTGATGGTTGGAGCAAGCAAGAGAGATGAAGTGGAAAGGTAATGGCAGCACACAGTGGGAGGGACGATACAGCTGTCAGACAAGATGAGGATGATGATGACAAAGATAGCAATGGAGCTCGTTGCATCTTGCTGCTGATTGGAGGAGGGTTAGGTGGCCAATTCTAAGGCGACCAATAAGATAGGCATTTCCTGATTTCCAGCTCCACCTCCCTTTTGCCTGTCGCTCTTCATCAACGTGTAATATTTTGTCATTATATGATTAATCATAATATGAGATTACTAATCACTGCAAAATTGATCATCATATTGATCAGTAACTATAGGAGCGATTAGTCCACTTGTAGTTATGTTGTCCAAGGTGTGTGGTGGTTAGCTTCGGACCAATATGTTCACACAACTTCTGTAACTGAATTGTGTTTTTTGGTGCAACACTTAATACTGCTCTCTCGTAAACTGTGGATGTGGATTTATTTGTTCCGCCTAGCTCCCTGTAAATGCATGCCTCTCTCTCTATTCCCTCCTTTTCCCTCGTTCCTCACCTCCTCTGGCTCCTGTCTGCTTTCATCCTGTCTTTCATCTCTGTCTGTCTGATCCTCCTTTCATCTTTCACAGAGCTTTTGTAATTAACTACTGTTCCAGAGACATTCACAGATGTTCTCTACCTCTCTCCATCTCTCACTTTTTCTGTCTCTCCATCTCTCACTTTCTCTCTCTATCTACTGTGTCTCCATCGCTCTCTCTTTCTTACTCATTTTGTCACCTGCCTTTCATAATGTACTCTCACCCCATCTCTCTCTCTCTCTCTCTCTCTCTATCTATCATTCCCTCCCTCCCTCCATCCCTCCTTCCCTCCCCCCTCCTTTCTTCCCTCTCTTGTCCTGGTGTCATGTCCAGTGCTGTTTGATGTTTTTCTGTGGGTAGCAACAGAGCATTCCTCTTTTAACCCTTGATACCATGTTGCCTAGATTATATTTAAGGACCAAATGTTATTTATTTTATTTGTGATCACAGCTTTAGCTTTTGAGTAAAATCAATTAAATGATAGTTGTTGATGATGATGATTATTAGGATGATAAGGAGGACCATGATTATGGTGACGGTAAGAATGCTCATAATGATAGCTAGAATAAAGCACATTTAGAAAGTCAGTTTGTCTTTGGTGTCATTGAGGAGAGAGAAAGAGAGAGAGAGAGAGAGAGGAGAGAGAGAGCGAGAGAGAGGAGAGAGAGAGAGAGAGAGAGAGAGAGAGAGAGAGGAGAGAGAGAGAGAGAGAGAGAGGAGAGTGTATGTGTGAGTGCTTGCATGCGTGTGTGTGTCTGTGTGTGCGTGCGTGTGTCCTGCCCGGTAATCCTGAACACCTCCAGAGGTGAAGCAGACTCGTATCCAAGATGACGCCTGTGGATGGGAACGCTGGGATCACTGTTGCTCTCGACTCTAACTAAATCATTATCCTCCTGCACTGGGAAGGATTATACCATATCTAATACACAGCCTGACCCTCCTGACTTGTGTCTCTCTCTCTTTCTCGCTCTCGCTCTCACTCCATCTAATCTGTGTTCAAGGGGGTTCAAAAGTCTCATCTCCACACTATGTTATGTTTGGTGGTGATTGTATTGTTTTCCACCTTTGGTGGATTGTGAGGCATTAGAGTGTTGGATTTACACTCAGAGTGATTTGCATTACGGCCTGAAATTAAATATTGTACTGAAGGGAACAATCATGATCTTTGGAGGGATGCATGATTGTTAGAGGGATGTATAGAGACTTATTGTGTACATTCTACTCTATTCTAAAGGGACTCTGAGGCTGTTCTCAGACGTTTACTTAGCAGACACCAAATACTATACTATACAAACAAGTTTGTTCATACCTTTGGATTTAAATCTAGAGATTAAATAACTATATACTTTAAACCTATAACAAGAGACTGTATAGCTATACTCTTGTGAGAGATGTAGGCCTACCCTTCAGACACATTTAAGCAGTGAACTCTTGTAAGTACCAAGCTGTCATCTCCACATTGACCACTAGATGGGGCTCAGCACCTAAACCAGACTCCTGTCTGCATTCCAGGAAAAGGTAGCAGCTTAGGATAACACAGTTTATGGTACACATTGTTTTACCTTCACCATGGTGAGGTGTGACAGGCCCTTAGATTGAGATGAGATAAGAGAGCTTTGGAGATATATGTGGAGAAATATGTGGAATATGTGAAGAGATATGTGGAGACGAGAAATATGTGGAGAGATATGTGGCGAGATGTGGAAAATGTGGAGAGATGTGGAATATGTGGAGAGATGTGGAGTCTGTAGAAGCATGTAAGAGGTTAACAGCAGTGGCAGACCACAGGATTAGTAGAGAATAAATAGGACTGTAATTGCTGCCTGTCACTCTGGCTCTGAACTAGAGGACCTGCGGGGAAGCCCTATTCTGGGGCCGCAGCACTGGAATCACACCGGAATGTCTTAGAGGATCACCTAGGGCTTGCAGGACATGGACAGAAAGAGAAATGGATTTCAATTATTTTGTCAGTATATATGTCAGTGTTTTAAGGATTGTGTGTGTATTTGCAGTGTGTGGTGTGTGTGTGTGTGTGTGTGTGTGTGTGTGTCTCCCTGCAGAGAGCGAGGTGACAGTGGAAACTCTGATCCCCCATCATGTAACAGGTTATTAAGTCTATAAGGGTAGACTTGGATTCAGCACACCCAGGTGGGTCACACACTCCTCTCGACTGCTGGGCCAACTGTGTGAGGGTGTGCATTAGTTCCACTACTGTCAATGCATTTGAACTTCTGCAAGGAAATCCATAATTAGATTATTTGCTAAATGAAGTTCAATTCAGCGAGATTTTGGGGGACAATAAAACAATATTTTATCTTTGCCCTTTCACTTTTTTAGGTGAACAACAAGGTTACCCACTGCGCACAGATGTCAGTTCAATGTCTAGTTTTCATTTACATTTGGTTGAGTTGTCAACTAACATGAATTCAGTGTGAAATCCTCCCCCAAAATGAACCATGTCATTGGATCTAGGTTAAAAGTTGGGTGAAAAAAATATAAAATGCCTTTAGTTGATGACGTTTTGCTGATCCAATTAGTTTTCCACATTGATTCAATGTCATCACATAGATTTTTTTTAGTTGAAATGACGTAGAAACAACGTTGTTTCAACCAGTTTTTGCCCAGTGGGTAGTGTGAATTGCAGTAACACACACGTCACACACACCACACACAACAGGAGCCAGACAGGTAGCCAGACCGCAGATTGAGCACAGATTTAAGGTTAGGGGGCGGCAAGGGGAAGGTGGGCTGGGTGGGCTGGGTGGGTAAACCACAAGATGTTATATTTAGACTTCCCATCACTTCAAAACCTGCCATCTCTCTCACACACACACATACAGGGGAGGTGTTTGGGGGGGGGGGGTCTGTAGTGTATGCGGGAGCAAAGAGCACAAGATGCAAAACTTAGAAAGGATAAGGTGATTCCTTCTGCTGTGTAGTTACCACTTCAAACAGGAAGCTGATGTGTGTGTAGTTCGCTATGAGGGGAGGGTTGTGTGAGCCGTGTGTGTCTGACGCTAACCTCATTCTCTCTCTAGTATGTCTCAAGATTCTTGCATCAGCCCTGTGTTGTCGTACACACTTCAGTCTCCCTCTGTACTGGAAACAGTGAATCACTTACAGTAGAAAAGGCCCTCTTTACCAAAAATTCGATTTTGAATTGCCTTCAGTATATCACAAGATAACACACACACTAACATAGACACACACACACTAACACACACACAGTGAGATATTATTCTTAGCTGTTTCAATAGAGTGGGTGTACCCCAGCTACTGTAGCCTGTACTGCCTCTAGTCTTCTCAGAATTTGGGGAGAAGTCTCTCAGAGTTATTATAAGTAGACTGGAGTTATTTTAAGACTCAGCAAGCCACCAT